AGCCAAGGTCCACTGAAATTCAGGCTGGTTTCTGGCTGTAAAGCTGGAATTGAGCTACCTGACCTCCTTCTGGTTTGAAATTTGCACAGTTCTACTGCAGATTCAAGCTGCCCTTCCCCCGAAGTGAGTCTGGATTCTGGTAGGAGGTGCTGACCCCAAGAACTCACCAGCCACTGCAGTTTACTGCATCTTTAGTGGAGTGACTCTCTTAGCTGTCCCATTGGATTTTAATTTTCAGCAAGCCTCAGAGAGGCCCTCTCTCTGATTCTCACCTCTGTGCCATCATCCTGAGCTCAGAACAATGGCCTTTCTGCTCTCTGCCATGCAATATCTGGATCATTCCATCACCCTGCTCTCCCTCCCAGCAGTGGGCTCCCCCATACCTGGTGGCTTTGTCTTTTTTAACTCCATTTGCTTTCAAATTTAATTTTCTATCAATGTTATCACTTTTTATTTCTTTTTCATAGTCTCTTCTCTGTGACCAAATCCCTGTTTTAATGATTTACTTTTTTGTAAAATGCTATATTGGTTTATCACTGTGAAGCAAGAAAATTATACCACTGTGTGTATTGCTGTCTATATAGGAAGCAAACATTAGATGTATAGTGACCACACATCTCTAGATTTGAAAAAGGCTGTGAGTTTGGTCATTGATCATGGTGAACATCTGTTATTTTCACTGTAATTTATGTACTGAAAAGCTACCAGTAAAAACCTTACGTTACGCAATTACTCACAGTTGATACACTGTCATCATGTCAATATTAGATCCTATAATACCTGAACTTTGAATCACCTTATGATGAGATTGGAGGCATTTAATGAAATCGTGCTAACTGAAATTTGTGTATATCAGAACAGTGTAACATGAGAATTGCCTGTGCTTTCTTTCTTGTGAGTTTCTACAGGGTACAGTGTGGTTCTGTAGGCTATAGGTTGGGCAACTGGGTTAAAAGAAGCCCAAAGAAGATGGCAGATAGGAAGATACTAGAAATTCAAGGGAGAAGGAATTGCGAGTTTGATAGTTCTGGTGCTGGCATGCCTTTGGGAATGAGCAGCTCTTTCCATTTTACACCAGACACCTTATGTGTTTCAACTTTTGTTGGCCCTGAAGTTTCCATGGAAAAAAGAGTACACAATCCCAAAGAGGTAGGACCTACAGCCTCTTTCAGTAGGAAATAACTACTGGAAGACCTAGACCTTTACTCCTTCAACAACCTATAAAGAGTTATGGAGATTTATGTCTCTCAGGGGGAAATGAGATAGGAGATTAGGGTCATGGCAGGAAAACAGGATGCTCTATGTTAATTATGAAGACCCAGACCAGAGGCTGGAAACAGGTTGTATCTATGTAACCTGATACAGAAAGGATGCAACCAGTCAATTACAGCCAGGATGAGTGGGCAGAGCAACCTCAAGGTACTGGATCTGGAAGGATATAAAAGGCAGCAATTCTTGACTTCACTGCCACTGCAATCTAACTGTTCTGCTGCGCTCTTGTTTCTGCAGTGGTCCATCCTATTGCAGGATGTGTCTCTTCTTGTGTTTTTATACTTCCTTCACTCTTTTCTTCACCTTTTTCGCTTTCTTTCTTTCTTTTTCAAACAAGGGATCAAACTTGGGACCTTGCACTTGAGAGGCAGGCAGTGGAACCACTGAGCTAAATCCCCGGCCCTCCTTTTCTCTTTTTTTAATGTTAAATAAAAGTTGTGCTTAATTGTTCCCTGGTTTTCCTGGCCAATTCTTTGGTTAGAACAGAAAGACCATGGAATCTTTGGACACCATGCTGTGCAGCAACATCAGGACAAGCTCAAAACTGAGGCAGAGCCCTCATTGCAGGATTAAGTCTGAGGTACAAGAGAAGGTAGAGGCCAGACCAGAGGCCTAGGCCCCCAGTGGGATGTTATAAACTATAATATGAAGAGTTGTAACACTAGAGCTAAAAGCCATGGGCAGTCTGAGTTACAAGCTGTGGTACTAAAGACTGAACCATTGGCATTCAAAGCTGGGAGCCACTAACCTTCAGCGAGTAGCACTTTTCCAATTGAAGATTTACATCTGTATTGGACAAAAACCGCTCAACAGCCTGATAACGCCTTATTATGGTGAAAGGACCTGTTACTCTAGGTTGGTGTTAAATTAAAAATTTGAGATGGAGTGACTGATCTTTTAAATAAAAGAATTTATTAAGCCGTTAGATAAGTTGACCATAAAAAGATCAAATCGAGGGACAAGTTCCAACAGGTACCAGCAGCAGGGCTAGATAGCAGGTGGAATAAATGGCCACTGGACCTAGAGCTAAGTGTTTTTACAACAAAACCTTGAGTATGGAAAGTGTGAGTTGCTTACATTGAGCCAACATTAATTATAGACAAGGCAGGTAGGATGGCTTGGAGTGGAGAAGGTTTTGGGGCAGCAGGACAGTTCATAAGAAGTAATGATTGTTTCTGGGTTGGTTAGGGATGTATGCAGGATGTAGTGGTACCGGATAATTGACAGTTTAGGACTCAAGTCAAGATTTTAACATTCAGGAATGTGGAACAGTTTTATTTTTGTTTGTTTCATTTTGTTTTTTGTTTTGGCAGGCCAACTGTTAACTGTTACTTCCCCTGTCTTTCCTTCTATCCTCCTGCCTGCCATATGATATGATATACACATCCTAGGCCAGTGACACAGTGGTAAAATGATTTACTAAGATCAGAATAAGAAGATAAGAGTTCAGTCAGACCAGGATGCTCTGGAAGGAACGGCAGATGAGTTTCCAAGAGAGGAACTGGACAGTCAGGGACTTTTATAAGGCTTTGAGTACATGGAAAAAAGGTCTAGGCAGCAAATATAATTATCTCAACAATGTCTTTTTCAGGATCATTGGCTCCTTGTAGATCATCTGGGAATACCTGATTGTGTCAAGTTATACATTCAAAGTTTTAATTTGATCAGACTATTTCCTCTGGCTTCACAGGAGGCCTTTTATCTTTAGATAAGGGTTTCCATATACGTTAACTTCTGGAGAAAATGGGTTAGGGTTCAGCTCATTGGGAGGAAAGAATGCGTTATTGATTTGTTTTATGTTGTGTAGTTTTTGGTCAGTGTTACTGTATTGTCTTATAATCACTGAGCACGTGCTGAGCAAGGTGGCTTCCACAGAGGAGTTTTTTTTCTCTAAATGTTTTAACCATTTTAATACCAACTGGTAATAAGCACATGGTCTTTATAATTAAATTTAGGATATCATAGTCTATTTCCTGTACCTTCACTCACTGCCTCAGAGAGTTTTCTGTGTAACAGTTTCACACTTACAAATTACCAGTGGCAAGGGAGCCTCATTTATACACAAGATGACAGAGATTCTGCAAAATCCACCACGTAACTAGCCTCTTTTTCTCAGCTGGCAAAAATAATGGCTTTACTAACTTATTTTCATAACCGCATGGTATCTCAGTCTCTCCTTTAAAGGAGACAACCTGGACAACACAGGCTGGGGAGGGAATAGCACTGCATTTAAAAGCAAACACCGTTTGAGTCCTTTATGGTCCTATTCAGATCTTTCAGCACCAGCTTCTGTTTCTCCAAAGTGATAATTAGGCATTAGAAGCTGGCTGCGTGAGCTCAGCCAACAGCTTTTAAAGGCTGCCTGCATTTAAAGAAAGGCCCTGTGTGGGGCTTTTGAAAGGGAACGAAGTCTCTTCTGTCCAGGATCTTCTCAGCTTCCGTAGCCTAGCATCCATGCCTTCAAAATGAGCAAATGACCAGCTGTCTTTCTAGATCCCTTCGGATACCTTCAATTAGAGCCTTCCCTCTGAGTAGGTGCTGTGCAATGCTTTTAACTTCTTAATAGAGCTATTATTTATTTGGAGGGAATTTGTTCACAACATACTGAGAACTATGATTTGAATTGGAATATAAGTTCAATAAATAAACCTCTTCTTTATGTACTAGAAAGGGACCGCATTGGACAAAGGAAATGAAGAAGGCTTGGTTTCAACCCAGATCATGCAGTGATTTCCAGGGTTGTATCTGCTTTGGCTGGTTTTTCCCCTAACCACCCTGAGTGTGCCCTGTTGAGGCTGCATGTGGCTCGGCCACAAGGCATTTTCCCAAGAAGAGAGGGTTGGTGTTTCAGTGAAGGCTGTATATGTAATGGGGTCTCCCTACTTGAAGTCCTTTTTCAGATGATGTAAGTGGGTTCTATGTAATTGCTACCCATTCAACACTCAGGCAATGGGGATTTGGCTGTAGAAAAGACACATGTTCACATTCTGAAGAGGTCTTTAAATTGCCCTAAGTTATAGGTGGATAAGGCATTTTAATTTACTAAGCCCTTTGTCATACATTATCTTTTAATTGTCGAGCTATGAAAAAGGCAAAGTAAAGATTGTTATCTTTGTTTTCCAGATAGAGCAGACTCAGAGTTCCACGAACTTGTTCTATAATCCACAGCTGGGGCTGGAACCCAAGGCTTATTCCTCTTCCCCTGGTTGTGACTGAGGCTACCAGAGAGGCAGTTGAGCACTGGAATCAAAGGGGTGAGAGACCAACAGGAAAAAGATGTGGGTTTGCACTATAGGGGCTGTAAACTCAAATGCAAGGACTGGATGCAAAATCAGTTGGTCAGTACTCTGGGTGGGGCATATGGAAAACTGAGGAACATATCCACCTTTTGAAATGGCATCCAGCTAGGTGTTGTCTTGTTTCAAAGCAGACCCAAAGTTGCCTGCTCTTGAGATATTTTCCAAGAGAATCTGGAAATCTAGAGTTACATGTAAATTCTCCTAGTTGGATATTAAATATTAACAGCTAACTCAAACATTTTTAAACCTCTGTAGACCAAAAAGCAAAAGCAAAACCAAACCAAACCTCCCGAGTCTCATTTGCAACCTCTGTTCTTTATGATAATAAATAAATAGGGTATTTTTAGGAGAAATGTAACAGGGCATAGAGGTTAATGGAAAGACTTTTATTTCCAGAAGGATCTTTCATCTTTTCCACAATTGTGTGGGTCACAAAGGGATTAATAAAAGATCAGAACCAGGGCATAGAGAGATAAGTTGCATATTATCACTCTTCAGTATGATGATTTGAACATCTGCTTTTCTTCCTTTCCATGATAGTTCTCACCTTTCTTCCTATCTACTACCTGATGGATAAGGTCTACATACAAACCCCCACCCCCACCCCAGGCTCCCACAGATTGCAAGCTGGGACAGGGACTAAATACAGATGCCTTCTCATTAGGTAACATTTCACTTTCCCCTCATTTCTAAGAGAGATTATTGGAGGCTCAATAAATCAGATACCAAAAGTATCAGAATGGCCTTCAGTTTAGTTTTTAAAAGAATTAAATTAATCACAAACATTGGTATTTTACCTGTCATTAGTTATGATTCATTTGTGATACAATTCATAAATGTCAGTGTAACATGGTTAAGAGCTGTTGTTTGTACAAATAAAAGTAAATATGAAAAGATACTGTGAACCTCCTGAATTCTGGTATTTTCAGTCATGGTATGATAGACTGAGTTGACTCCCTCAGTTTATAAATCCAACAAAGATTTTAGGGATATCACCAGAATGGACTCTTAAGATAAGCCAGGAGAAATAAAACATCAGATTTCCAAAAACAATCAGTGAGTTAGAAAACAAATGATCTCTCCTCTTTAACTGGCAAGGGGGATCTCCTGGACTGGTGTTTGGATAATGTTAAGCTAAGTTCTGCCCAGCAGATAAAGGAGTAAATGCTTCCCAGGTTCTTTGCTCCATGAATTGATCCAGAACAGGCAGAAAATAAAAAGTGAATACCAAAGCTTTCCTATTACCTGCTACTTTGGAATGATCTATTTCCTTTCCATTGCACTGAAGAATTCAGAAAGTGGGACTAGAAACCACACTCAAGGAAAAAAAAGAAAGAAAAGACAAGGAGGCGACTGGCAATCTTATATATTGTGTCTCCTGGGGAAGAGGTATCTAGATCTGAGTCAGACTAAGACAAAATCAGAGCAGAAACAAGTCTATTTTTTCTCTAGGTCACCATAGGGAACCAATCTAACCTATTTACAAGTAATCTCAGGGGCGATGTCTTTAAATAGCTTTCTTGTCACCATCCTTTTCATCATCTTCCATGATCACTTTGGGTCTTTCGTCCTGGAGCAGTGTTACATCTGCAAAACAAAGCACACACCTGCAATTAAGTGTGTCTAATTAAAATATTAGACAGTCTCATAGATAGACCTAGCACACAGAAGTGTGATAACCTCAGAAATGTTTTTGCATCTGTATGGAGAGAAAGGGTGCTGTGCGACCTGATTTGGCTTCCCAGAAGGGCTCAGTGAGGACACCACTTGTCACAGGCAACCTTCACCTTCATTCGCTGGGCTCTTCTTCTAATCTTGCAGTACAGTAGGAGGGAAGGAATGTGGATTTGGGCGTCTAGTGCTTTGGGCTCCTACTTGAGCCACTCTCTTAACTTGTATTGGCTCAGTTAACACTTTCTCATCTCAATTTCCCCTGGGTAAATTGAATGCATTGGTACTTATTATAAAGAGTTATTCCCTCTACTAAATAAGGCGTATGTAACATGCTTAGCAAAGAGCCACACCTGTGGATGGCTAAATGTTAGTTTTTCCATGTTTCCCACAATTTGCTAGATTGTCTCTCTTCTGAAGGTGACTGGTAAACCTTGTGAAATCAAACTTAAAGTCATTTTACCAACATGTGGGGAAAATATTGAGCTGAGGTTCTGGATATGTTGTTTCCAAATGTCAGTTTTAATAGAGGATCACACTCAGAAGTTCAGAGCAAAATGAACACAATTCAAATGGTTCTTTATTCTGAGATGATAACTTTCCTGCTTCTGGAGATTAAAATATCTTTTCTCTTATATAATTTTAGAGATATTACCTGGTTGTCCTTGCATATCCTTACTAGGCAAAATAAGAGGTTGCTCTTCCTATGTTGTGCTGCATTTTGTTTTAAAAAGTGTAGTGATGTATGAAACAGAAATTTTAATTTCCTTTTACAGTTCAATTTTCTGGAAGAACTAGCTCAGTAAAGGCCAGTCAAAAAGGTCTGGGTGGTTCTGCTCATCCTGTGAAGTTTAAAGGGGAAGCATCTTGATTAAAGGACAAAGGAAGCTGTGATTCAACACCAGTCCTCCAGGGTTCCTGTCATCCCACTCCAATCCCCAGTTTTGTTTCCCCAGCATTGCCTTGTACGACCTCCTCCACTCCTCTCCTAATTAGGTGCCCTCAGTCCACGGGGCAGCTCATACAGATCTAAGCTGGAGTCTAGAAGCTGCAGCTTCTATAAGAGGCCTTTCTGTAGACTGGACCCCATTCACTGCTGGAAAATTAGTAGACTATGTGTGGCCCTTATGACTCTTTATTGGACTCAATTTCTACTTTGTTCAAATATGTTCCTTCCCAATTTGCTAACATTATTGGAGAAGAAAAATAGTTTCAAGAGTCTGGCTGGAACTAAGGTTCTTAGATAAATCACGTATGAAACACAGTGAGAGATATTTTCTCTTAAAGTGTATTACCTTCAGGGAGGTTTGGATTCTTGTTTGTAATTAAAGCTAGCATGGTAGGAGAATGTAGAGTAAGCTGTGTTGAACCGCTCAACTCTTCCATCTTTTTTGGATGTGTCTGTGTCAAACCAAACTCAGGTTAACTAAAAATAATATGTTTCCCCCACACGCCATGGTGTTCTGAGGTAGACTTAGGTCCGTATTCTTTCAGGCTCTGGTAATACATTGAATGAACCTTTGTGGAAGCACTTTTCACTGAGCAGTACATCTGTCTTCCCCTGCGGTTTTTAAAGGAGAGTCTACCATCTGTCTCAGTACCTGGAATATAGCAGATTTAACACACGTCAGTTCCTTAGTCCTTCTATAGAGATAAGTCTAGGGAAATTGTCTGTAAGACATCAGTGTTTTTTAAGGCCAAAGCTACTTTTCTGGGGTCTCTGAAGGGCAGTCAGCCTTGAAATAAGCTGTTTCTAAGCAGCATGCCATCCAGGTTACCATCTAAAAGTGGCCATCCACATTACAGCTCTGTGCCTCTGACTTGGGGGGATCAGGGCAAGGACGCTACCTGTCCTGAGAAATCACTCCAGAGAGAATGCTGTATTCTAGCAGGACAGGAGTGGTGTCACTGTCAAAGGACATGCTAGTCTCTTTCCTTTGTTCAAGTGTAGTATCTGATTTTCACTCTCCAGACTGCCCAAATATTAGCAGTTTTCCAGGCAGCTCCTCTTTCCTCTTTCATGCTTTCAGCTACATTATTCTTTACTTTGCTTGGCTCCTTTTGCCACAGACCTCAAGCTAAATTCTCTCTCTCTCTCTCTCTCTCTCTCTCTCTCTCTCTCTCTCTCTGTCTCTCTCTCTCTCTCTCTGAAGCAGACCTGGGCTCCCCAGATTTGACCAATCACAGACAGTACTCCCCGTCATGTAATCACTAAGATTGGGCTCCTGGCAATCGTGGATCACGTTGGGAGCAAGCCTGGGGCTGGCAAGGAAGCCTGAGGTGACTCCCCATAGAGGGGCTATTCTGGCAGCTGGAACTTGTCAAATTAGCTCATTAACTTAGGGGAATGAAGGTGGTTAGTAGGAGATTTAGAGAAGAGTGTGGATCCTTGTCCAGTTCTCACCTGCCAAGGGCTAATGAGAGGAGATGTCTCCAGGGTGCATTTGTCTGTGAGTTTCTCTCAGCACCCTTATTAGAACCAATATGAGTCTTTTTGAACATCTGCCGAAGGCTCTATCCTTATCAGTTTAACTAGCATTTCGATTACTGCCAAATCTTTAGATACTAAAAGACTCATCGAAAGTAAAGTACGTCAGCTAATATGCTAATAAAAACTGGAATCATACAACAATATCTGTAATTGCACACATAATATGGAGATCTGCCTACTCAGGAAATTCCATAATGCCTATTGAATCTATGAGTACATAGCACTTTTCCGGCTCTTATATACGCTGCAATGTTTGATAAATGCTTTTGATTCCAGAAGGAAGCTGCTCTTTTAGGACTAGGTAGTGGGTGTGCGCAGCCTCCATTGCCAAGTGATCAGAGCTCAATAAGTGGGAAAGTTCCTTGAATCAGCATATTCATATGAAGAGGTAAAATGCTGGGGATAGGAGAATTCTTACTTCAGAAATCATTTGACTTAAAGAATATAAGATCTGACAGACAATGCAAGGGAACTAACCTATATTGAGAGCTTTCAATACGCTAGAATCTTGGCTAAGGGCCAAATGTTAACTCTTTGAGGCAGATTGAATGTTCCCTGTTCTGGGATAGATGAGATAAAGGAGGCTTTCACTGTTTGTGTTAACTTTCCAGAGCCACAGAGATGGCAGGAGGCAGAACCAAAGATGAAATGTAGACATTTCTGACTCCAAAGCCCACGTTCAATTTTGTGTACTAGGATGAAACCATGCCTGTACATATTTTTGTCTCTGTACAAAATAAATACAAGAACGGACATGCAAAAATCAAGTGCTACAGAATTGTGACCATCAAATACAGTATTATCAACAAATACCTGTTGAGCCCTACTAGTAGAAAGGATGGGCTTAGGTATCCAGGTCCATATTAGAAGCAGCGATCATAGCCCAGTCTTCATGATTGCATCAAGCAAATAGCTAATGTAACTCAATCTACTACAATAACAGCAATGAGAACAGGAAAGACCATATTAAATGAAGGCTTGGTCATTTCCATGCCCAGGACTAATACAGAGTCAGTTCAGAGTAGAAGAGTCATTCTTAAGGGATCTATCAACCGAGGTTTCAGGCTGACTTAGTCTTGGAAGGTTATTGGGAGCCGAACAGAGAAGGAGCTTTGGGAAAGTGTGTGACCAGCTGGAGGACCCATGTGTGCAGGAAGGCTGGTAGCCTGTGAGAAGCGTGTGTGACACAGGGTCTGTCTCTCCCATCCATCTCTTGTCCATTTCTTTAGAGAATTGTCTCTATATTCACCCTGCCTCCTTGCCTGCCTCTGCTCCTTGTAAATCTAAAAATGCCTGGTGCAATCTGTATTCTGTTTTCTTCTCGTTTGCTTTGGGGACAGAATATTTGATGGAGGTGAAAAAGAATGAAAATTTTGTTTAAGGTACAAGTGTATGCAATTGTTAGGGAGAATTTCCCATGTTGCAGCAGAATTTTTAGAACAAGTAGACCTTGATGGGCAGAAAAAAGTTCTAGATCAGGGTTTGTTAATCTGGATCAGATAAATGAGATTTTATTTATTCCTTTGCCATGCAAATATCACACGTAAAAATTCCCTCTTATTGGGCAACAGTTGGAATTGATATTTTATGGCTATTGGCTATTAATCTTAACAGTTATGCAAAGATATCTGAGCCCTTTCCAGGTGGTAAAACCAGTCTGAAAGAAGGAAGAACCCTGCCAAAAAACATTCATGGATGGCCTCGTCTGTGGGAGATGGTTTTGGCTTAGTCTTTATGTTTGTGTTTGAAGCTAGAGTAGCTTTGACCTTCAAGCCCTATATGCGGAAGAGAGCTGTCACTGGCCATCTCTATTGGCTCCATGTTAAGGGAGGAAAAGACCAATTCAGGATGCCATGAGGGCTGACGGCAGTAATAAGAGGAGTCCTCAGAGCCTTCCTTCTCTCTGAATGTAGATCTAGCTCATGGTGTCCAGCATGCCTGACTATGAAATTTGGAAAATCTTTTACTCTGCTTCAGCTCCAAGTATTGAGTTATTGTATTTCCCCACCTACAGTATAAAGTCAAGGAAGACAAGGACATTTTCTTTTAGTTTTGTTTTCTACAGTATGCCTAGCACTTGAACAGTGCCTGGAATATCATAGATACTCGGTTTTAATACTCACTGAGTAAAAGCTAGAGATGTTTCTACTTCAGGATACTTGAATTTGTTTCTTAGGCTCAAATACTCTTCAATCAGTTATCTTCAAGTCTCCCTCCCCACACTTCCTTCAGGTCTATGCCTAAATGTTGCTTCCTCAAAGAAGTTTTCCCTGCACTCCCATATAAAGAAACAATATCCAGCGCCCTCTCTTTCCCCACCTAGCTCTACTTTTCTTCATAGAATTTACTTCTAGCAGAAGTTCTATTATCTGTTATCTGTATAACCATTGAATTTACTCCCATACCATTACTTAGAATATAATATGTGCTCAATAAATACTTGTTTAAAAAAAGTGAAGGTGGTTTGAGGATTGGACTTCTACATGTCCTAAATTTCTTGCATTATCTGCACATTTGTATGGCATCAGAAGGCTGCATACATTCAGAGCTCAGAAATGTTGGTCTGTAGAAGTGTGTGTGTATATGAGGCGGGCAGAGGAGGAAGAAAGAAATATTGAGGTGACTGAGTAGGGTCACACCCATTTTTCATCTTGGTATACAAGTGAAAGATAAAGATAAATGGAGGAGGGAGAGAGAGAAAGGAGATGAAGGCCAGAGAACACAAACCCTATGGAATTTGGGCCTAGCCCTTAGAAATGTCTGAGAAGCTCAAATTACTGAGCTACTGATGGCTTTTGTCATGATATAGTATTCTGAGCTACCTTTTGAATTTCATTTATTAGACAAAATAATAGAAAATATTTTTTTAATAACAATAAAATAACATGTCCTACCAAAAATATGTTACATATCCTTTTTTTTCCAATGGTACTGAGGGTTGAATGCAGAGCCTTTCTACTGAGCTGTGTTCTCAGTCATTTTTAGAATTTTTTTGAGACATTTTCTCATTAAGTTGCTGAGTGACTCAGGCTGTGCTCAAATTTGTAACTCTCTTGCCTTAGCTCCCAGAGCACAAAAGAATAAGTTTTGTGTATTTATAAAGCAAAAAGTCTGAACCATAGCATAGTATAGTAGAAAACTAGCCAAAAAGGAGACAGGCTTGGTATGAGCTCTAGCTCTCATGTAACAGTGTTTGACCTTGAGTATTCATTTGTTTATCTGCTCATCCCATCACTGGTACAACCAATCAGCCAATCAGTCATCCATCCCTCAGTTCCATCCACATAAGACTTTAAATGCGTAGATAAATTAAAGTCTCTCGGTTTCTTTATCCCTGAAGGGAGATAGTAGCTATTCTGTTGTGTTATTTGGGTGATTGTTTTAAAGTTCATGATACATGCCATGTTTAACATTTAGTACACACACACACACACACCCCAATCTCATACACCCATCATGAGTTTAAATGTCTTATTGTTCACCTTGCACACAAACTTCTCAGGGACAGATGACACACACGTTAAGATACCTATTAATATTTCTGCACTCTCTATCTTTCCTTCACTCCTGTCTCTCCTCTTTCTCTCACTCCCTTACTCTCTCATTCCCTAACCTACACTGAGATTTTGATCAATTAGTCTGTGCACAAACTTGGGAGAATGAGCTACTAGTCATGAGGCATGGACCATACACTTAGGAGCAGGCTGGTGATGAGGGTATCTCATCTCTTCTCAAGGACCCTCTGACATTTCCACTTCATTGGCTCAGTGAATTTGACCAGTTCTGCTGAGGCATGAGTAGTCTGGAAGCCTCTTTTTTGTCCAGGTCAGCCTCTAGGGAGCTGGCAATGAAGAGAAACCTGGAAGGCAGCAATAAATGCCACATCTCCCCAGAGCCCTCCTCGAGTGTGACACAGCGTGCTGGGCCACGTCAAAAGTCATGCCCTTGGCACTTCCAGATGGTGAGGCTTTCGACATGGTCCCACCACCTCTTGAAAATGCCCTGTACCAGCTCTTTTACCTGCTGCGAAGGGGGGCACGTGCAGGGCAGGTGTGTCTTTTCTCCTTGGCCTTTTCTGTTCCAGGTCAGTGTTGTGAAGAGCTGGGCTCATTTTGCTCTTTGGATGTCTCTCTTGAATATCATATCTTTTAATTAAATGTTCTGAAATCACACCTACATAGTTAGGAGAAGAGAGAGGGAAACAGATTCAAATGCAAAAATGTAGGAGGGCTGCACAAGCACATAGAGCTACGCATATACCTAGTAAATGTAGAATTTTAAGCTTCTTTTACTAAGAATAGTACTTATCAATGCTTCATCAAGGATATCTATGCAAAAAAGCTGGAAGCCTAATTTCATTTTAACCTGATAGAATCCCAAGGAATTTAACATCGCTACCACTATCACCTATCTGAGGAAATTGAGACAAAAAATGTGTCCCACTTACTACCGGAATTAGGCCTAGATTTGTCTCTCTCCAAATCTCATCCTTTGAGCCAGAGGGCATCATCTGTAAGCTAAGTGCAAGCTATGTGCCACACATGTCCACCCTAATAACTTAATCATTGCTCCCCCTCCAGGGTTCACCTACCTGCCTTCTCACCTTTACTGTACAGGTGAATTTTTCTCTAGAATTTCATAACTCTCTAAAAAAATATCCTTTCCCATAAGAGTTTTCACAACTCACTGTCCAGATTCACCTCCCGTGGTTCTTATCTAAGTACCTCTATTATAACATTGTTTCTTAGTGCATATTTCAGCGGTGTGTGTGCTGGTGCTCCTCCTTGTACCTCTGATGGTTCCTCCCCTAAAAAATTTTCTGCATTATACTTGTTCTGTATCCTTCAAACTATGATAAAAGAAAAGACAGTAGTGAAAGGGAACAGGAACGGAAGTAACTTTGGGGAAGAAGGAAGAGTCACAAGTCACATCCAAGGATGACCTAGAGACTTCTAGCTGCTCATTAAGTTGCTTTGCTTTTCTCCTGGCCACAGAGCAGGAGTTCATTCCCAGAGTTCCTTGTGGTCAGGTGAGGCCTGGCCCACATGAATCTCTCCATTACTCCTCCATCTGTCTACGTCTCATGCTTGCTGTATGGTGACACTCACTGTGACTTGGGAAGCTCAAGGTAATTTGGTTACTGTGTAAGTGTTGATGATGTCAGAGTTCATCAGCCTGGATCCTGGAATGACTATTTGGAGCACTGTGTGCCTACCCTTCCTCCAACTACCACCACCAGTGAGACAAAAGGAAGGCATTGTATTGAAAAGATGGTATGGTATTAAGCCATTAATATTTTAGAACTCGAATTCCCAAATATGTCAAAAGAAATTTGCTAAGACCAGTAAGATCTAGCAACAAGTGGTTCCCCTTTACAGCTGTGTAAACTAACTTCCTTGTCTCTTACCTGGGATAAAAGGTGGGATGTGCAGTGCAGGTGTGTCTTTCCTCCTTGGTTTCTTCTGGTCTGACTCCACAGTAAGTGTGGTCTGCATATTTTTTCCCTTTCGTGGCTTCTTTTTGAGATCACAGCCCTTAATGAACTGATCTGGAAGGTCATCTGATTTTGACAAATATGAAGACAAAAAAATATAACATGACAACATCTAGCTATAAACTGTCTCATTTCTAATGACAATTGATCATAGGGATAGAGGTAAATGGTTTTCAAAAAGTTAAGTGTTTATTTATTTTGGTCTTTTCAACAGAAGGCTTGAGCAGCCTTGCAAAAACTCCATAAAATTCTGACTGAGAGAAAATTTCATGAAATTCTGATCGAGAGAACTTGAATGGATCACCAAGGCAAAGAGCAACTTAAACATAGCCTTCACCTAAAGGGCTTTAATAATTTCATTCAATCATTTTAATTTAATAAGCATTTATTTGGATTGTACTATGTGTACAGCACTGGGCTATACAAAGTTGATACACATTCACACACATACATGAGATGAGGGGAGACTTTATTATACACTGCTTTACATACAAGGTGATCACCTATCATCTCAGTGTGTGACATGGGCCAACGCCTTTTCTGATTCATCAGTGCTTGTGCTTTCCTGGGTAAGTTTTAATTGAATTCCCGCACTCATTATTTCATTTAGTTCCCACAGTAAACCACTACAATAGTATTTTATTATCTCCAGTTTTCAGAAAAGGAAACTGAGGTTGACAGGTCAGGGAGAAGGCAGGAAGGTACACTGCTAGCAAGTTATATGATCTGACTTACACTCCAGGTCTTGGAAGTATGCCTAAGCTGCAAAACAACTGTTAAGATTTGCTACCCCACTGCACATCAACATCCCCCGGATTACACACACCATAGATATGTGTTGAACTAATGAATGTTTCTTGTGATAGGTGCTACTCAACTGTGGGGTCTCTGGGATGCACAGTCTGTCTAGGGACCTATGTGGTGAGCCCCCATTGTTCCCACAGTTTGATCCATGCATAGTATAGAGAATAAGACATTTGCTTCAATTCTGACTTTCACTGCAATTTCATTTTGCCCCATTTTTGGAGAAATCCTGAACATAAAATATCTTGATGGCAATTGGGAAGAGGGGAGGGGAGGGGGAAGTCATAACCAGGCAAGGCATAAACAAAGGCTATGAATATGCAAAAGGCCCATCCATCAAAAGTCTGAGTGTCTCATTTTTAGAAATGGGTAGAGGCAGAAATGTTTCTGGTATTTTCATTACAAAGGTTATACAAAAAGTCAGTTCTGGAAAGGAAACAGATTGACAATAAAGCAGAAAGGGGCTATTTAAAATTCTGTCTTGATAGGCAAAGAGAGATATTTGAAATATTTTATTGGCACTGCACATGGGTGTAAGTGTGCCGGGAAATACTGGAAATAAGCTATACTGTCACATACCATTTATTGCCTCAAAAATGCTCTGCCTGGGACTCTGACAGACCCCCAAAAGAGGACAATGCCTCCTCTCGCACTCTCTCTGTCTGTAACTTTAATGAACTTCTCTCCGGTGCTTCAGCTAATATTTACATGGCAGACCCCACAGACCCATGGCTATTTGCCTGTCCATCTGGTGTTGGCTCTCACCAGAAGGCACAGACTATCAGGTTTCAGGGGGCCTCTCCCTGACTCGCCTGCAAACCATATGGCACAGACACACCCTTTCTGGTTTTCACGACTCTGACATTCACAATGAAGCACTTACCCAAGTGGCTGCAGTGAGGGTCTAGCTTGTCCAGTCTGTCTTCTGACAGCTCCAGGGGCTGCATTTGCTCAGTAGACATCATCAAAAGAGAGAGCGTGTGTGTATTCCTTCTCCAGCACCACCAAAGTACAAGAGACAGTCCCTAAGTGTGCCTGCAGGTAACTCATTCATTTACTTATTCAATAAATATGTTTGTTGAGTGAGCGCTTGCTCTAACATTACCAATTCAAATATGTTTTCCAAGTCAGCTTCTTAAATAGCTACTGAAATTAAAATTGAAACCAAACACAAGTGAATAACACACACATTTATCAGTAATTGCTATTAAAGGTTCAATATTAGACCATTTTAAGAGCTTCAGATAAATAACATGTCTGAAGTAGAAATGATTTGGCTAAGAGTTACAGAAAATCTTTTTTTTTCATTAAGTTTATTGGTACTTTTAAGCTATACAGTATAGTTACATTCATCATTGGGATCTTTTACCTTTACATGGTTCTTTTTTCCCACTCCACTGCCTTCCCTTCACCCCCTCCACCCTTCCCTGTTTACAAAGACTTTGTTTCCAATTTTTCCTTTTCTCATGTTTTTTCTTTTCCCTTCTTTCCTTTCCCCTAGCCTTCCCACTTCCCCATCTCCTTTAGCTCCTTTCTTCCTATTTTACATTATTTTTCAAGTGACAGAAAATCTTGATCAAACTCTCCTATATTTACTTTAAATTCTGCAAAGTAAGATTGTGTCTACTTCACAGATAGGGAAACTGAGACTCACAAAGTTTACTTAATTTATGTAGTCTTTCATGTATCAAGTTAGCTGTAGCTAATTTAAATCTGGTTCTACAGGCTACCACTAGACACTCAAGTCTCTTAAAAGCAAAGTCTCTTGCAGCCCAAATTTATCCAGGCTATTCATTTTCTACCATTATATTTTCCAACTCTAAAGTAATGAGACAGCCTCTACGTCCATGCTAAGAGGGTGGTAGAAATGCAGTAGGAGAAAATCTAGATTTTGAATGAATGTTCCTTACTTTTTCCCCAGGGATACCCAACGTGACAGCAAACCTCTTACCCTCATTTTGCCCTCTTCTTTACTGGCCCACAAATCTTTCCAGAGGTATTACATATATAGCCATTGTCTCAGACGAGTGGACATTTAGAATGGACCCATGCCAGGTCTGAATGAGAAATACATTAGCTGAGATTTACAAAAATTTTTCACAAAAGTCTGCTTAGGTTCTGATTCTTGTGTTCCTTTCTGGTAATTGATTACTTATATCCTATGACAGCAATAATGGTAGGGGAGGAATGGATAAAGGCAAAAGGACCCAGCTGATCCTGTTCTCTTGCATTTCCTGGACCTGCAAGCATACAGAGACACACAGACCAGTCATGCTAGCATTTCAAGCCCCCCGAATGAGTGCAACTCAGGTGTCTTCTGAGGAATAAACTGGTGTTCAGGAAAGGCTGGAGGGCCTCTTACACCATGCGCTAAGATCGTTGCATAGCAGATGGAGCCATTAACTGATCACTTGAGCCTGGCTTTTAGTGCCACTCTGAGCAGACGGATTGTACTGAGTGACTTCAGCATAAATCAATTCAGACCATTGTTCTTTGTGATGGCCAACTCCCGGGGACTATGTAGAAATGTACTGTCACCTCAGGTAGCCCTCCACCCATCCATGTTTGTATGGAGAGGAGAGAGCTATGGGAAAGCATTGGAGGAGTGGGCTCAGTGCTGAGGTCTCCAGGAAAATGCCCTCTGCACTGATTTAATCAACCTTCCTCCTCCCTGGGAAGTCATAGCTTCAATCATAGATGTTATGCTGAAAAATCACCCCATGGAGGATCTGCTCGAGATACTTCCAGAAGAAGAAGAAGTCAAAGCTCAAAGCATCCAAACTTATCTACTATTCATTACATACTCACAGTAAGAGTCAGTATTTCAATCTGGCCATTTCTGTCTGTCTGCTGCCAGCCCTATCTGGCAAAATGATTCCTCTCCTTCTCCCCAACCTAAGGAAAGCTGCTCTTCATTCTTGAATCATACAACTGCTCCCATATGTCTAACAGCTGGTTGTTTAATTTGAGTCTAGATTCTTAAAATCAAATAGACCTGGATTAAATCTCAGCCCTTTAACTAAAAAAAATCACAGGGCTGATAAATCTGCTAAATCTTAATGATGTAGTGAGGATAAAAGGAGCCCAAGTGTAATACAGTCATGTCTCCCCTCTCTCCCTGGAAGCTGTTGTTGCTATAACCAATTTTGCAAAGGGCAACTTTTTGCAAAGGCATTCAGGGATATAGAGTCCTTTCTGTTCCCTCTTCTTACTCTGTTTTCTTATCTGGCAAATAGCAATAATAATACCTACTTGGCAGATAAAGGAAAAAGCACATGCTTAGTACATTGTAGGCAAGTGATATCTATTATTATGTACCTTTGGCTGTATCATGTTGGGTCATTGACTAATAAAGACCGTCTGTACAACTGAAAAATTCTAAGAAACAAACACTTAAGTGCTCAGCCTCGATAGACTAGCTGTTGTCTGAGCACAGCTCAGATGGCAATACTGGGCCGGAGAAACAGGAACCTGCCTCTGGCCAATGAACGGTGCAAGAACGGGTTTGACATGGCAGAGGCCCCTGAGTAAGCCAGGCCCTAGAGATCCATCATAGCACTGACACATGGTTATTGCACAAGGTGGCTCATATCTTTTGGGGAAACAATACTATTTAAAATTAGTGTGATTCAAAGAATGATGGTTGTGGTCCCGCAAGACTTTGCTTGCTAAAGTGCTGAGAGATGATTTCCAGATTTGGGATTATCTATTAAAGAACTATCTCATGATTGGCAGAGACGTGGTTTGCCCATTATCTTGGATGATGATATTAAGTTCTGGCAATCAGAAAATCTTCAAACCAAGAAAAAGAACAAGTAACTGGAGGGGAGAACTGTTTGGAATGCCGTGTGACCCTATTGCTCATTGTCACTTTACCTGCCTATTAAGTGTAAGAAGAACTCATGTCCCCTGTTACCTTCCATTTTCACCCTCAGAAAGATCGGTGCTCCGTAGGAGTGAACCATTGTAGGACATGAGCCTGTCTAATTGAATTTGAATTTGAATTAATTTGAATTAAGAAATGGGATAGTTGCACTTTCTACTCCTGACTCTGTCCGTGCATTCCTCTTTAATTCAGTCTCCGCCCTGAGTGGACATTGTAAAAGGACACTGCCCTTGACCTCTCGCCAAGGGAGGTTTCATCATCTCCCTCAGCAGCTCTTTGTAACCTGGGGACTTCCTGAAGCCTTAGCTCTTCCCTTCATACCCAAACAGTTGATCCTCTGGGTCTTCAGATTTGAGGGAGGTTTGTTGGACCCCACATGCTAAGAGCATTCAGAGGCGCTTGTGGATGGAGACTTTACATTTGGGGCTGTTTCACAAACTGTCGCTGGTACAAAGACCTACCACCCCCTTTGACATCCTTTTACCACTCACTGGCACCACATGGCCCCTGGATTTTAACACAGTGATGACTGGAAGTGCACTGTGATGGTTAGTATCGGTCACCCCCACCTTACCATATGAGCCTGAGGCCGGATACATCATAACATTGGGAATTTTGTTACATAATACCCATAGAAGGTCTCAGGGAGGACCGGCAATCGCATGCATTATTTCTGCAGCCAAACTCTCAGTATTCACCCTAAATGAGGAGAGGACAGACTACATAAAGATTTAGATTTTTCCAAATCAGATTTTGTAACTAAATGAGATAATATTCACCATTGCGGCAACAAACCCTTTCAGTTTTCAGAATTTCTCAGATTTTCCTAATTGGAGAATCAAGGCTTGAGAATCTGAACTATGTTTCTGGTGACAGATTTTTGAGACAGTGTGGGTGACTAAGGGAGCATACTCCAGAACCCAAGAGATGTGATGTCAAGATTTGAGGGAGATTTTTAAGACCCCCACATGCTAAACTCTGGCAAATTACTTACTAATCCTTTTCACAAGGGACAAAGTCATTCTTTTCACAGAGACACTTGTAAATGCAAATACCACTGACAGAAAAATCTATAAACCCCATCACAGTATGCAGCAAATGTTGGTGGCAAAGTCACTTAATCTTTTGAGAAAGAAATAAAAAGGCTGACAAACTGGGTACTAGGACAATGGCCCTGCTGAATTGTAGGGGGACCCATGTACCAGCTCAGCCTGCAGAAATCTGAGGACGTGTTGCTGAGGCTGGTCTCCACTAGCTTGGGCTACTTCCTGATTCAGGGAAATAGGAATGCTATCTCCGTAGTCCAGTTTGAAGTCAGAAGTTGGTCCAGGTACTTAACCCTGAGGAAGTTTCTCAGTTGGAGGTGAGGAAGTGTAGCTTAGCTCAGGGGTAGTGCATTCCTATTTAACTATAGGCTTGCATGTTCTGCGGCAGTCTGAAGCAGAAGCTGGTGATTGGAACCTTGTCCCACTCTAACTGGGTGAACTTGCAAAAGCAATGCGGTCTCCTGGAAACTTAACTTCCTCATCTGTAAAATGTGGATGCTATGGGGTCTGTTCTCCAGTCCTGCTAAGTGTTAACTACACAATGTGTACAGAGTGCCCAGCCCAGGACCTGCATATGCTAACCCTCAATAAGCCCTAGTGGCCTTTGATTTCTCAGTCCCCCTGCCCTTGTGATTAGAGTATCTAGATCTTAATGGATCTACATTGATTATCAGGCTAATCACACTCTATCTCTTGACTTCTTTGAAAGTGTGATAATGAAATTAGAATATTCTAAGGTGCAAATCAACTGTAGAATACCCAATTCCAGATCCTCGGAACCCATTCTCAGGAGCAAATGGACACTTAGTTTAACTGCATGGTAATCGAAAGAATATCTTTAGAATAATCAGTCCTGGCCTTAGTTGATGCAGTAAAAAGTTTAAAAATTACTTCAACAGCCCAATACAGTGTGTAGTTAATGTACCACCTGGCTATGTACAGTCCATAACCTTTTTAACTTTCTTTTTCACCTGAGGATTGCATTCCAGCCATAAGTACGTTTTAAGATCATATTTGTTCATTTAAAAGACCTACATTTGTAAAATTCCTCAAGGACTGACTGTAAGGTGAAGTAGAGCATGGGGATAATTTTTGAAAACCATGCTTTCCCCAGCCTTGTAGACTAAGGCTCTTCATTCTGTGTGAACCCACAGTCACACGAGTGGAATTCATCCTGAAAGCTTACAATTTAGTTTGTGAGGGCACAGGCTGTCGCAGAACTCAAGACCCCCACTTCCCTTGGAAAAATGCCGCAAAAGTAGTGACTTTTTCTGTTTCCTGCCTCACCTTCAGTTTAGCCTTGCTTCATAAAGCCCAACCCCACTTGGGAGCCTTCTTTGTCCCAGCAACCACAAAAAAGCTATAAGTTATCAGAAACTTGCTTTTCTCACCACAACAGTTTGTGGAGAAAAAAAAGTCTGAAGCACTTACCAATCGGCGCAGACAGTGCGATGGGCCAGAGACGAGGCAGAGGTTGCTTGGAGAGGCTGGGTTGATGATCTGTGCTGTGGCTGCTGCTGCCCAGCTCAGCTCCAGCTCCTCTTATCTAGGGACCAGCTGCTGCTGTTGCCATGGGGATGCTCTGTTTCTCAGACACCACGGCAAGGGGGATGGAGAGCAAGCAAGAACTAACCTCACCATCACTGCTGTCCACAACAGTAATTGCATTTTACAGAAATAACACAGAGAGTCCTGCTTTGAGTTCCTAAGGTGTGTGCCTGAGAAACCCAGACACGGTGGCTACTACACCTTTGAGTCTTGCTAAAATCCCCACACCTTTGTTTTTGGGTCCTCACATTGCAAATGTGGAAACTGAGGCACTGAGTGGTTAAATAACTACCCCTAAAGGTGCCCCCCCAATTTTGACCCCCAAATCAATTTGAGTTTAAATTTAGAACACTTTCATCTATCCCATCTGTCTTTCAGGGCAATGCCATGATGAGGAAAGGGGCATTAATAGAAGGAATCACTAATATTTATATAATGATGAATATTTCCACATGCCACATGGCTTTGAGACTTTCGAATAACAGATTGGGGTTTAGGCTGTGTAATGTAGAGTTTAAAGAAAATCAGATTCTTATCAGGTGTAATTCTAAGGACACTTGCTCCTCAAAACCCAGCCTGAGGTTAAAGGAGAGGTTAACTAACTTAGATTCTGCCAAATAAGTTTCTTTCAAATTTCTTTCCAGAGTGTCAGAGTTCTTAACTGCTTGTCTTTATCTTAACTTTTTATCCTTTTTCCTATTTGTTTTTACATTTTGAAGCTTAACTACCTGTATGGCTTGACCCTTGGTGTATGTGCTCTATTCTTTGTACCCAGCCAACTCTATTTTAGACATTGCTTCTTACTAGCTGACTACTTATCAGTTAAATAGCTAAATTGCCTCTTACAACAGCAGAAATTGGAAGGACCCCTGAGGGTAGCCTAAGGACCACTCAGTGATGCCCAAGAGATATGTTTTAACAGAAGCTATGTTGTTTCTTTTCTTTTGGGAGTTGGCATGAAGTATAGGTCATGGAAAGCCCTTTACTGGCTACAATTACCTGTTAGTTACTGGTAATGGTTTAATTGGTGCTTCCCTTCCATTTGCCAGCATCCCAAATAATAGCGCTGGAGTCACAGTCAACTTCTCCCGACACTGACTTATAGAGTTAGGATTTCTTCAGAGGCCACTAGAAAACAAAAAAATCAGCAAAAACTAAACTTCTTTGATTCAGTTTTCTGGAGTTGTTTTGCAATCTTCTGGAAAGGAATGGAAGATGCCAAAAGTCTCCAGTCCTAGACAAGAGGGTCCTAGGGTCCTGAGGGACAATTCCCGCAATCAGCCCTGTGTTCCCTGTGCCGGTTCGATCTTCCAGTAGCCCTTCCAGCCACTGTTAGCCACTGCCTTTTCTCCAAACGCGAGTGGAAAAGATACACATTCTTCCTACACTTTCACATTCTTTCTTTTTGGTTATTGATTCACATGCAATTGTAAGAATCATACAGAAAGAACCCTTGTACTTGTTGCCCCTGTTCACTGATATTGATACAGTCATAAAGACCATCTTTCCACCACAGGTCTCCCTCACCTTGCCTCCTTAGGGACGTCCATCTCCTTCCTCCTCAGTCCTGGTCTCACACATTCATTAACCCTTGGCAACCAGTACTCTCTTCTCCACTTCTATAATTTGCATTTCAAAAATGTTATAAAAATGAAGTGACAGAGCATATGCCCTTCTGGGGTTGACTTTGTTTACTCAGCATTATTCTCAGGAGATACATCCCTAGGTTGTTGCCTGCACCATTAATTTGTTTCTTTTTGTTATTAAATGGTACTCTTTGGCAAGTCCCAGGTTATTTAGTTGTTCACCTGTTGAAGAACATCTGGGTTGTTCCCAAACTTTAGCTATTATAAATAAAGTTGCTATGAACTTTTGCATAGGCAGAGGCTTTTGTGTGAACAAAATTTTTTGTTTCTCTGGGATGAATGCCCAAAAGTGCAATTTCTAGCAATTGCATGCTTAATTTTATGGTAGCATCAAGGTGGCTGTACCAGTTCTCGCTCCCACTAGCACTGTATGAATGCTCTAGTTTCTCCACATTTTTTGCCAGCATTTTGTATTTCTAAACAATCACCATTTTTAAGAGTCATTCTCATAGGTATCTAATAATATCTCATTGTGGTTTTAATTTTGCATTTCATGGATGGCTAATGATGTCAATCGTCTTTTCATGTCCTCATTCATCACCTGTGTATTTTCTTTGTGAATCATCTCATCATATCCTTCACTTGCTTGCTAGTTGGATTAAATTTTTTATTGTCAAATTTTCAAAGTTCTTTATATATTTTAAATACCAGTCTTTTATCAGAAATACAGTTTGCAAATATTTACTGTTAATTTGTAGCTTATCTTTTCAGCCTCAATGAGTCTTTCATAAACAAAGGTTTTTAATGTTTTTGAAATCTATTTCTCAATAAATTAATTTAAAGGCCTATAAAACGAGATATTTCTAGGTCTTTTCAGAGGAGATAAACCTTTTGAACATATAGTGGCCTTTGGATTTTAACACACTCTTCATCAATTAATTTTCCACAGTTCAAAGGGAATATTTTCAAAAAGAGGAGCATGCATTTCTCACTGCCCCTTTGGATGGACATGTGTACTTCTCCCAAATACAGGTTGTTGCTATTGTTGATTTCCCCCCCAGAACTTTCAACACACACTTTAATTGATCATGCCCTATCCCACTTTTAAGGGAGATGTAAACAGCAATGGAGACAGCAGATGGTAATGTAAATCTATACCTCAGAGAGCTCTAAATAACAGCCACATGTGTACAGTGCTGAGGACCGTTGGCCTACAATGCTCCCAGAGTAAGTGCAAGGAGTCCTTGTGAGTGGGGCATGATTTGTGTGTCCAGAGGCCTTCTGATGTGTGGTGTAATTGGCTTCTGGCTTCATTCCTGCTAGATGCCTAATGGTAACTAGCTTTGAATGAATATATTTTTATTTTAATCACAAATATCCCATCTCTATGCAAAAAGATGTCTCAGTGATGAACATTTCCAGATTATTTGAGTCAGTAATTTATAAAATGTACTTTCTTTCTTTCTTTCAGGCAGGGTCTTTCTATGTAATTCATACTAACCTGAAACTCACTACGTAGACCAGGCTGGTCTAGAATAAAATGTACACTTTAAAGTTTTGCCTTTCAAAATCAATCTAGGGAAGTTTATGTGTTGGTGAGTAAAGGGGCTCCAACATACTAGGGGGAGAGAGTAAAAGTTAATTTGGGAAATGAATCAGACACTCCAAAACTGACCTTGCCCTTTTTTCTCCCCCTAATAAAAGGAAGATATTGTTGCAGTCTTCATTTTAGACAGGTGGGGGGAGGGGGGAGACAGAGAGAGAGAGAGAGAGAGAGAGAGAGAGAGAGGGAATGAGAGAGAATTGCAGGCTAAATTTATCCCAGAAATCTTGCTGGATCTCTTTGTCCCAACCAGCCCCTCAGAGAAGGAATTAGCTGTCCTTAGATCAATATCTTCTGGTAAGTAAGTATCTTTGTGTTTGTGTTGGGAAGATTTGAACATATTCTTACTCTAGATAATAAGGGGACATTAGAGTTTACCTATAAGAAATCTGATATCATCCATTGCCATTTCATTGAAATTTCAACATAGAACATATTTGAACTTTCAGATGTTAATTGTTGGATATTAGTGCCTACTAAAATAAGAAGTATAGAGTTGTCTATTCCATTGTATTTCAATTGGAAAATTTATGGAGATAATTATAAATCATCACCCAGTTATAAGAAATAATACATAGCTATAAGAAATAATAGACACAGTTATCTTATATATTGTGATAATTTCCCCCAGATTGTGACGTTTTGTGATAATATAGGCGAATATATCAACCAGCATGTTGATGTCGGTCCAATCTACCTGACTTATTCATATCTTCCCAGACATCTGTGTGTGTATTCTATACAGTTTTATCGTCTGAATAGTTTCATATATCCACCACCAGAGTTAAGACACTGAATATTTCTCCAGCACCATAAAGTCTCTCTTGCTGTTCCTTCACAGCCACACTCTCTCCTTCCACCTTCCCAATCTCCATGGTCATTCTTAGCAAACACTAATCTGCCCTCCATTTCTACAATTTTGTCATTTCAAGAATGTTATATAAATGAAATTATGCAAAATGTAATCATTAGTATTGGCCCTTTCCACTTGGCATAATTCTTTGCAGATTCGTTGAGGTTATTGCATGTCTGTAGTTCATTCCTTTTTATTGCTGAAAAACATTCCACTTCATGGACATAGCACAGATTGTCTAACTAGGCACCTGTTGGAGAATATTTGGGCTGATTCAGTTTTCTTCTCTTGCAAATAAAGGTGCTAGAAACATTTGTGTACATGTTTTTATGTGAATATAAATTTTAATTTCTCTGGGATAAATGCCCAAGAGTACAATTGCTGGCTCATGTGGTAATTATATGCTTAATTTTAAAAGAAATTGCTGTACTTTTTTCCAGAGTGGCTGTACCATTTTTCCTTCCCACAGTTCTAAGAGATTCAGTCTTGCATCTTTGCTAGAATTTGGTACTTTCACTGTTTTTTACATCTTGGTAGGTGTGAAGTGATACCGTATTGAGTTCTTAATTTGCATGTCTTTGATAGCTAATGTTATTGAATGTGTGTTCATATATAGCTTCTTCATCAAAAAATCTCTTCATGTTAATTGCCTATTTTCTACACCATCTTGTCTAGATGAGAGTCTACATATAGACTATATATATA